TCCGTCTATCAACCTCTCGAAGAATTGCGCATTAAAGAGCAAAGTCTCAGGTTCCGCCAACACTTTTCATTAAGAGTCATAGCAACCTGGAATGCTCTCCCAGCCAAGATAACCACAGCCACCTCATTTGATGGCTTTAAGAAGAGACTTGATGAACACGAACTCACATACGGATTGTCATTTCTGATGTCTCTAAACTTGCTAGTTGTTAAAGTAGTCGTTTCCTCGAAACATTACGCTATTCCACATCACTCATTATCTCTGTTTCCACTTCTAAGCCTATACTCCAGCCTTCTCACACAAAATTCACAACCGATTAATTAACTTATCTGTCCACTTATTGAAGTTGTGCTGATATCTTATTAGCATTTGAAATTTATCCTTTTAATTACAAATTACAAACAAGTGGATTACGATAAGTTTATTTTTCACTTAAATTCGCATTAGTTTGTTTCGCTACTCCCGTTGTCAGCGGTAATGGTTACTGGGCATAAATATCCTATTGTTTGTCTACTGCATTCTCAGTTTGCTTTGAAGGTTATATGGTTTGCGTCTGAGTTACGAAATAAGCGTGCGTTTAAAAATGCACGCATTTAGTTTCAAGTTCGATTGTCAAATCTTTTTATATCCATAGATTTTTCTGTTTACTCATATCATTTGAGCTATGTATGCTCTGTGATTCTTTATTTCATACGTGCCTATATAGATGGTATTCTGCAAAAACAAAAATTTGAGCCAGTTCCTATATTATCTTGATTACATTCCAATTAATATTCTTCGAAACACCCAAGAAGGATCACTTTTTGGTTATAAATTCGATTTCCTGTAATCCGTGTTCTTAAACATACTTCAAGTTTCAATTCAACTGTGAATGAAGTTGGAACCTACAGTAAATAAAAAGATTGCTGGATGCACAACAGTAAGTTCAACTAAATCTCACTAAAACTTCATTTTGTATTTATTTTGTTCAGTTAATTTTATTAAACCAAATAATCCAGATTATTAAACCCTTTATTACCGATTACCTGCTTTGTTTTGAGATATATTCATTAATTTTATCAGCACAGTTATCTTCCGACGTTTAGGCAAACATATTATTGAAGCAGGAGGTTTGTGTTAAGCGTTGATCCGGAAACCATTTTCATCACGGAATAACTTATTAAAAATCGATTGGTAGTTGAAAATACGGACCAATAGCTACTAATTTGTACTTTAAAGTATCGAAAGTAAGTCCATTATTACCTAACTTTGAAGTTGAGTCAGACCTTCTTGAAGTGCCAGCTACTCATGTTGACTAAAGGCTTCTCTCTGACATTTAACACTGTCAAAGAAAAGTAATAACCTGATCTATGTTTGCTAAAGAGGGTCATTTATGAAAATTAAAATGAGAATAGGCCTCGAAAATGAACTCTTTGTCAACTTATTAGGACACTTTGTAGCCAGAGAAGAACTGAAGATTACTCTGACCATTAAAAGTTGATTATCTAACAGCACAGTAAATCAGTCCGTCAACAGGTGACTTGATACCTAACAGTTTGAGTTTATTGATGAGACATATATATGATCGGTCTTAACAAAACCTTTTAAGAAGTCAACGTATATCACATTAACCTTCCTCTTGCGATCAAGTATAGTCATTTATCTGTCAAATGCGATCAGTAGGTTGGTTACACATATATGGCTCTTCCTGGAGCCGTATTATTAAGGTCAAAAAATGTTCATAAATAAAACGTAGTCGCGTAGATCGTCGTATGTCAGGGACTAGTTAATTTTGCAGGGTGATAAAAGGTTGCTAATGACCGATAACTGGGTGGTTCGTAACGTCAGCCTCCTTAGGAATTGGTGTGATATACACTATTCTTGTCTTAGCGGATGTGAAAACATCATACTAAACGGTATTGCCAAGGGTGACACCACTTCTCTCAGTATAGCAGAGTAAACCATATTCGGGCCAGGGGAACCGTCTTTGTTTTGATACTGCAGTTTGTGATACACTATTCTATCGCCTAAGTTAACTTCAGAGACTAATCAACGTTAATAGTGAAGCCCTAATTGATATAGGTTGTATGTAATGGTTGAAAAGCCTGAAAATACTTTTCTGCTAGGAATTCTGTGGCTTCGCCGTTGTTGTTGATTGTTTGAGAGAAGCTGCACCACAAGCTTTTTGTGTTGGAGACAAAGTTATCGATCAAACTGATCTGAAACTAAAGTCTATCTTCTCTTAGGATTTTTTCTGAATGGATTCTTTTGCTTTTTAAACAGCCTACATACATTGTCATCACCAGTTTGTTTGTCTTTCACCGAGTAGTATCTTATCAGGCTTAGCATTCATGGAGTTCTCCTCCTTATGACTTTAGGTTACTTGAAACTTGTGAATGCCGTTTGTGAGACAGACTGGTTTGTAGAACGTAAAATAGAGTAAAATAAAAAACCTTACTGAGTTTTGACATTGAGCTGTGTGTGCTTCTCATTTCATCTGCTCTAGATATTCCTTTCGGACTGAAACCCAGTTGTCTTAGTTTTTAACACCTGTTGTAAATAGAATGTGTTAGCTCACCTTTGTGAATAAATTCAAAAGCTACGATAACATACTGGCTTTTTCCTAGAAGGTCTAAGATTGAGAGTTTATCAATTAGGAACACCTCATTCGTGAAAATGCACCCTAAGAATGGTGACGTTTGACTGATTCTCTAGTTGCTAACTTCCAATATTTATATAATCCCAATTCGTGAACTTCAGTAGAGTTATCACTCCCGTTGTACATGAGTTCAGGAAAGATGGGTTTAAAAAGACTGAAGTCGCCCTGAAGTTAGGAATATGAGTGCATTCAAGGCAAATAATCCCTCTAACTTATGATTGTAGTAATATGTATCATCAGTGAGGTTTCTGTAGATGAGTCTCACTGAGCGTCATACAAACTCATAAAGAACGGTAAACTCCTGAGATTATTCTTGATGTGCTACCAAACAGGACCGTGGGTAGAGTGCTGACCCGCCTCTCATTCCAGTTTTCGTGTCACAACGAATCAGGGATATAACCTAACTTGCTATCTCCTGGTCTTTCATTTAAGAAGTAGCCGATGTTTCAGATATTCTTGTCAGATGAGGATTATTAGAGCAGCTTAGTTCTCATATCTGTTTTGATAAACTCCCAGCGGTCGTGTGTCATTATTTGATACGTTCGATTTTAAATGTATGAGCGGCTTTGTATTGTTTGTAAGAATGTATCCAATGTAAACAAACAGGAAACCTACCCACACAGGGTTTTCACAGTGAGTGGTCCGTGACTCTTCCATGTTTTTGTTTGTTTCTAACGTTTCAGCTCCAGTTAACGTTTTTGCTTCATATTGCTTGTCCGGATGCAAAGTGGGATTCAACTGATAACCTGCGTCTGTTTGCATCAAATGCCCTAAGAGTGTCAGTTACCATTTGAAAAGTAGGGAGGTTTATCATCACCGATGAAGTCAAAAGACAGAAAAATTCTTTATCTAAAGTAAGATATAGCATAAATATATCCTCACCGATGCAACTAATTCATCTCTTATATTATTCAAAGTTTATAAAAGTCCATTAAATTACACTTTTCGATTCCAATCAATCGATCTGCATATCTGATAACCATTTCTTCATTTCATAATGTAGATAGTTATTCTTTATCAATTCTTTTTCATTATAGCATTATGAAGATAGATGTTTTACACTGGAATGATGAATAAATAATTGTTAGACCACCATTATAAAAACCTGGAAGCACTGGACGTTCGTTTCGTCTTGGTATGGGACTCATCAGCAATGCGCATCCGTGACTCCTGCTACTGACAGGACTTTAACCCGGGACCTTCAGTCTTGTACGCGAACGCCTAACCTCTAGATCACTAAGCCGGCATCCAGCGGTATTATTGTCTAACTTTGATCCCGTGAGTAGCAGGAATCGTGAATGCTCACTGCCATTGATGAGTCTCATACCAGGGCGGAACGGCCGTCCAGTGCTTCCAGGTTTCTAATGGCGGTCTAACACAATGATTCATTCATGACTTCTTAATAAACATTAGTAATTCATAAAGCAATCTACCTCTAAGCTATTTTTAAAAAAAACTAATCTTCGTAAATTAATACTCATAGTTTTATAGCATAACAGAATGATAGACTGAATGTAATCCTTAAGTTGTACAGTTTAGTTTTGTTAAGTGTTTCTGTAATTCATGTTAAACAATAGAGATTAATGTTGCGGACGTTAGATCTCCAGAACGCACTTGGAAAAGGTCCTAATTTTGTAATTTTATTCTGAAAATTTGAATTTCCATGTTTTCGCGCCAGTTGATCCTCAGCTCACGTTTCCCCTTCTGGAAATCCTTGACTGTGATTAGTTGATGGATTATTTTGGTATGCTGTGTTTGTAGCCCTCACCAAGGGTGTTTGATCATTGTGCAAATAAGCTTGCGTTATGCGTTTGTGGACTTCATACTTTCTGGGTGCTTGTGGAATATATCTCTCTCTACATCTTATCAAGATTTCTGCCTCTAGTTAGTTGGTCTTAGGACGATTGGATTAGAGTAGCTTATCGCATCACTGAAACATTGATCTTCGTTGCGTTTACCGAACAAGGTTAACTCGTCATAGCTCGAGCATATCAGTTAGACAGTTTTTCTGAATAATTTTTGATGAAACCTATTTTCGATACTCACCTTGATACTTGTATCTCACCGCATACTATTTATTGCAGTGTGATAACTTATTCCAGTGTCACATTTCAAATAGGCTTCAGTTAATACTGATGATTGAGATAATCTGTAGTGAAAATTCAACACGCAACAAGGCTAAGTACATACGCGCGTATGTAATTCAAAAAACCAAGAAAAAAAATCAATCAATTGCCTACTGGTTAGTTTAGAGCAAATCGATCGAATTCAAAATTTTGAAATTTCCATCTTTAGTAGTTAATTTGTTTGAGTATACACACTCCATTGGTTAACGCAATTATTTTTACTATCTGTGTTACATCAAAAACTTCGTGTTAAATATTTATATTGCTAAGCAGAGTATTGAAAAGCAGTTATTGTACTTCAACGAAACACTGATTCCATTTTTGTAAAAATGCATACGAACAGGATCATTTAATTTCGTGGCTGCGTTGAACTGGAAGTGGTGCTCATCGCTTTAGTGGCCAGCGATCTGACTCCGATTCGGATGAACGTTCAAGTATGTTATGAGAACAGAACATTCGTTTTGATTTCTGTATATCATATTTAGACAAACACCGTTTATGCAACCAAGGTATTACGAAGCCATTATATTTTCGTGAAAAGATTTATTGGATGGAATCGCCCACTCAGTCATGAGAATACAAACTGTAAAGGCGAAAGAAAGTGAGGGAGACAAGTGAGCTAATTCAATGCGATGAGGAATAATTCAGTCAGTCAGTCAGTAGCAACGTAGAACATCATACGTACATACATCAGTTCAAGGTGTCATACCTCATTAGCGCAGAGACGCAATTGTCAATCCAAATCCCATAGAAGTATAGGTAGAAGTTTCAGCGATAGTCATATGGATTAGAGACCGAAGATATTATTCAAAAAGTATATCCCAGAGAAATAAATTTATAAAGGAGAAAGATAAAGACGACGAGGATTTTAGAAGATCAGGACTTAGGAGAACACAAAGAATGAATGCGCCTGAGCCATTGCAAACAGTTTTCAGACACATCATTGAAAGTATCTAACCATCGGTCACTATCGGCTCAGGGACCCCAGCCTGGTAGTCTACATCTACCAACATGACTCAGTCCAGCTGTCAGTGACTTCCTGAATTTGCATCTTGTTTTTTCGGCCACCCCTGGCTTCCTTCTAGACTACTTCTATATCACAAAACATCTCTCGTAGAGGAATTCGATGGTTCGGCATAAGTAACATATGTTCCAACCACCTCAACTAGTGAACATATACTACCTTATCTATTGGTTTCCCATCCTAATGAAGTACTCATTTCATAACAACAGCACAGCTTACTTGATTTTCTCAGGATATACGAACAATGCTTCAAAGACACATAACCGAATACTAGTAATGTATAAATGTCCTCTCCTCTTACTGGCCATGCTTCACAGCAATAAAGTAGGACGGAGCAAACTGCTGCGCAATCAATCCATCCCTCGGTTAGTTGATGGATCGATATCACGCCTATAGTCAAACAAAAATAAACCAGACATGCGGTAAGTGAAGTGAGCATGCAGACATACACACACAGTCAAATAAAATCAACCAAGATTTAAAACGAATTAATTGACAAGATCAAAAGACAAGGAGTGAATAATGAATGACTCAATGCAGAATAAAGTAATTTGTTTGTCTGAAAGTTTGAACAAACCATTTGAGCTCGACATATTATTAGTACATAGCCTTCAAAAGATTTACTACTTACTACTCTTGATCAATCTGTTGTTTTCTTTTATTTTCTAAACTTATCACACAGACTTCATTAAAATCGGAATTAAACCGATCAACTGTCACAAATCTATGCGGTTGGAGTGAACAAAATGTATTTCATTCAGTCTATCGTAAACCGACCAACAAGATAACCGGTGTTCCAGGTGGTAGTGGTAGTAATGCCGGCAGTGGTGTCATTTTTGGCAAATCGGAACGATTCACTTATCAGAAACCAGTAAGAATTTGTAAAGAATATAAATTTTATCATTATGACAATCCACATGCTTATATACTGCAATATCGACGTGATTGTACATCGATTTCAAATTTAAAAGATTCTTCTAATCTGAATAATAATAATAATAATAAAGGACCATTGCAAGAATTTCATGACTTAATCGATACTGAGCTGAATGATGTAAGTAGTAGTTTGATTTCTTTCTATTTTTTTTTAAAAAAAGTGAATTATAATTCAATTATTGACGAGAAAATTATTTTACAGTTGTTGGTAAGAGAATGACTTGCTTCAGACAAAAACAAGGCAGGCAAAGTCGTCGCTGACAGTTGAAGAACAGTGAAACAGGTGAGTAGAGCACTTTGAAGAACTTTTGAATCGATCAGCCCCATCGAAGCAGAACCTGTGGATTTCCCAATCAATGTTAACCCATCGTCAATTGAAGAGATCAACATGGCTATCAGATAAATCAAGAGCAGCAAAGCAGTAGAACAAGACAATATTCCAACTAAGGCACTGAGAACAGATATAGGAGTAACAGCGAAGATAATCCACAAGCTCTTCAGTAAGATTTATCAGGAAAAGTTTTCGGCAGTGTTGGTGGATCGAACAAAAGATTACGTAGACACCTAACTTCCAGATCAGCAGGTTGGATTCTGTAAGGATCGATCGTATACCGACCGAATCACAAATCTACAGATCATTGTGGCACAATCAATTGAATGGAACTCATCGCTGTACATCAACTTCCTTGACCATAAGTAAACATTGTAGGTGTGTTGTATTCTAATTCGAGACTCACCAGTTTATGTAGGCTGCGTTATGTTCGTCGTCCTGTGAACCGCTTTGTGACTGAGTTAGATTCTAAGTAGGGCTCATTACTTCAGTGACTCCTGATCCAGTTTGGACGACCAGTCGAATAAGCTATGAAATAAATCTCCGTGCGGAAATTCTCGAAGTTCTAATGAGAAGACGTGACCAATGGAGTTCAAGCTTGTCAGGTGTCGGCAGTAACTACCAAAGACAAATGAATGAGGTTGTGCGAAATCCTTAGATTGATCAGAGTTATACAATAACACCATCGGAGGTTAGGCGTTCGCTCCTCAAGGCTGAAGATTCTGGGTTCGAATAGTGCGAGTAGCAAGAGTCTGGGATGCGCACTGCTGATGAGTCACATACTAGAATGAAACAGCCATCCAGTGCTTCCATCTTCCTAATAGTGGTCTGTCAGTGATTCATTTATAATTTCATTAATTTTTATCTAACCATTTTATCAACCGACGTGTAGACTCAAATTCTCTGCATCATATTTAGCGGTTGTTGTTATCAGGTAAGTTACCGAGGAATATAATTCTGTTTATACTATCCTTAAAAGTCTTTATTTTATGTTTGACTAAAAATTTTATAAGTGACAATGTATTTGATTTCAGCAACCAGAAGAAAAACTGAATATCAATCAAACGAACGATGAAAGTCTTTCGGAACATTTGCCTGCTGAACCGTTACACACTGCAGCAACAAATCATTCACATTCTCGATCGCCTGGAATGAAAATGAAACCTGTCAAATCTGGTTTAACAACCACTACGTCTGGGAATCGTCATTTATGGGTGAATAACTTTCCACCGACTTCAGATCATAATCATAATCATATCAATAAATTACCAAACACAAATATCAAGTTAGTTTTCATTTGATTATTTAAGATACATGTGCTTTACTTATCTCGGGAAACAGAGTTCCATGCAATCGATGCATCTGCACAATCGTAGATGATTACAACCATGTCATTTGAGTTTTTGCTAACCACCAGTTATGAATATCGCAGGGACCCCAACTTATTAGTATACACCCATGACCGTAGCTCACTTCAATGACTTCATGGACTGGTTCCATGTTTTGCTTTGATCACTTCGCGATTTCTTCTAGCTTACTCCCACATCAGATAACATCTCTCGTTAAGGGAGACCGCAGTTTGGCCTACTTAACATATGTCCAAACCACATGAGCTGATGAAGATTGATTACTTCGTCAGCCGTTTTCCCATTTATACCTGATACCCTAATCCTAATCCATGTATTACCAACTCGGTGGTTCCTGAGTTTTTTCTGTTCACAAGTGGTCAAGCGAGAAGGTCACTCGATGATCATCGGGAATGTCCTAAGTCAGTCAATCAGCTACCACGTAGAACTTGGCATTTACGTACATCAGCGCTGAAGTTGACATACCGCATTAGCACAGAGAGATCGAATTTTCGATTCAATTTCCATTGCAGTAGAGGTAATAGAAGTATTAGCGGCAATCGAAAATATGAGAGGTTGCAGAAATTATTCAAGAACTAAAATCCAACGAAATAAATTTGAAAATAGAGATTGATGGTGATGAGAAATTTATAAGATCAGAATTTGAGGAAAGACAAGTAGTGGATGCACGTGCACCATTGCAAACGATTTTGAGCCATGTCATTCAAAATCTCTAACCACTGGTTACGATTGTTTCTCGGACCCCAACCAGATAGTCGAAACCTATCAACTTGGCTTAGTGCAGCTGTCAATGAATTCACGAATTTGTTCCATGTTTTAGTTTGGTCGCCACTAGCTATAAACGTCCTCAAGGACTAATTTATGTCATTGGTCAAGAAATGTATACATTTTCTATACGAGGGAAGAATTTATATACATACTTACTTACGCCTTTTACTCCTAATGGAGCATATGCCACCGACCAGAGCATAATCTTTCTAGTTTGTGTTTTTTTAGAGTCGGATTTCTGTCGGGTGGAGTCTCTGACAGCGGGCTTGGGACCGGCAGTAGCCGTAGAAAGGTTTCAGGCAGAGTTAATGTATACAAATATATAAGTGTATATTACATATATGATTCGGCAGCCAAATAGACTTTCTCTCCCACTCTTACAAAGCTTTGATTATCATTATGAATAATTTCATTCACATCTGCTTGGAACACAAGTAAACTTTCAAACTAAATACTTGATCAGTCTGTTCTGTTGATTTTGTTTACGGTTAGTTGTTTCAGGCCTCAGATAAATTTTCATTCTCGTTATTTGTTTGGTTAAAATGACCACTACTCTTTTGATTAGCCATAGTTATCTCCAGTGATTAAAACACTAACTTAATGATTCATAATTCATATTTTTAGCTCAATGTGAATTGAACAACATCCAAGGTAATGAGTGAGTGGTTGAAGGTAGTCAATAAGAAACATCGGAACAAGATTTTATGCTATTTGGCACTCGTCAGCAAAATGTACCTTTAATTTTCAGAGAACTGATGCTCCCTGAAAGATTGCGGTCCCGTATCATCCAGTTTCATAGTCACAGATATTACTACCACTAAGCTATCCTGACCGCTGATGACTAACCTCCCTCTGGACACATATATGTTGATTAAATATTTTTGGTCACTGTCATGTGTCTCAGATCCTTTTATAATGTCGAATAACATGAAATCTCAGTCAAGTAGGGTTTAGCTGTCGATTACCTTTAACGCACCTTTGTAAATTATACAACAAACTACACGCAAAATGTCGAATCACTTTGATTTATGTAGTTTTTTTTTGTTGTTTACTTTTCTTTTTTAAGTAGTAATAGTAGTACAAATGCTAATCACACAAAACAAAAATTACCGAAAAAAGTGGTAGTCATTGTAAGTTGTGCTTGCTTCCTTTTTTTGAACAGTTTTAATATAATTTCCTGAGAATTCAATTGAATTTATTATACATATTTGTCTATTTAAATAACAGACATTTTGGAGGATTTAATTTTAGCATTTTGATAACTCAATTTATTGTAAAATAGGCTTATCAGAAGTTATAGATCGTGTTCAGTTACTTTGAAGCAAGGAGCCTCAGTCAGTCAGTTAAAACGAAGGAAATTCGTTAGTATGTTCATTAGTTCAAGTTGCCATATCTCAAATCTCATAGTGGTTGATGTAGTAAAAGTATTAGCAGTAATCGGAGAGATTAAGGTTCGAAAACATATCATTCAGCGATTATAATCCGGTGAAATAAACTTAAAAAGAAAAAGGTAAAGGTGATGAGGAATTTGTTATGCTGGTCTCTAGGTATGCTTAAAAATTTTACGGGTTCACCTTAGTCGAATTACGAGGACGAAACAATGAACCTGCGTCCAGGTAGGCTTCTGTGATCCGATTGTCTCAATTGTACCAGCAAGAAGTCTTGATATAGCGTAGAAAGTGTATTCTACAAACACCCAGCCAGCACACAATGAATCCAAGCACTCAAATAGCGTTTATTTATACTCCATAGAGACATCCTTGGGACAGTCACAAAAATAGCACACTAAAATGACACAGTAACCAATCACAGCCAAGGATTTTCCTGGTGGGGAATGTGATCTCAAGGTCAGTTGATCAGTTCATGAAAAAAATCCGAAGTGAGGATATTTATCAAGCAAGTTCTGGGGATCTAACGTCCCCAACAGAATTAGAAGACTACAATTTCGGGAGATTTCATTCGAAGTCTCTAACCATCGATGATTATTGTCTCGGTGACCCCAACCAGGTGATCTGCACTTACCAACATGGCTCAGTCCAGTTGTCAGTGACTTCAATGATTTGTACCATGTTTTGGTTTGACCGCCCTAGCTTTCTCCCAACCTACCCTGACATTACAAAATATTGTCCGTCGAGGCAGTCGGTAGTTGGGCATTTGTAACGCATGTTCCAACCACCTCAAGTGATGAAGTTTCAATACTTCATCTACTCATCTGTCATCTATACCTAGTAACCGTTTCCTAACAGCAGCATTGACTCCTCGATGGTCCCAGGATATGTAAGCAATGCTTCGGAGACAACTATGATCAAAAACCAGTAACCTACGAATATCTTCTACTACTACTGTCCATGTTTCACAGCCATAGAGTAGAACAGAGCAAAGTGCTACCCAGTAAACCCGTCCTTTGGTTGGTAGACGGATACCTCGAAGGACGGGTTTACTGCACAGCAGTTCGGTCCGTCCTTGACTTTTGGTGTCCTCTCAAATTCTGAATTTCTCGTCACCTTTATCTTTCTCTCTTTTTAAGTTTATTTCACTGAATTGTACTTCTTGCATAATATCTTTCTATCACTGCTAATACTTCTATTACCTCTACGTCTATGGGATTTGAATTGACAATTTAATCTCTGTGAGTATGTGGTACGTCAACTTGAACTGATGTACGTACGCAGGGAGTTCTACGTTGTAGCTGACTAACTGACTGTTTGCATTTCCCTATCATTCATTATCTTGAATTCTATCTATGATAACGAACTTATCTAAATCGTTTTTTTTGTCATATATTTTTCGCCTTCACTCCAAAAATAAATTACTTAAGTCACATCATTCTTGTTCAAGTCGACCTGGATCAGGAAAACTCTCTGATAATAAAACTAATTTAATTTCTAATGGAACAGGTCTAATTCCCGTACCACGTATAGAAAGTGCAACAAAATCCCATAAAGAACCAGTCATAAATGTGACCACAATTCAACAACAACAACAAGAACAACAGGAACAACAACCAATTCACAATGCAAGTCATCCTGGATTCTGGCCATTGTTATACAAGAAACTAATTGAATTAAAAGCGGAACGTGCTACTCATCAAACTGAAGGTAAGAGTGCGAAACATGCAGATCTATGTATTTTTGTTTGATAATTTCAAAAATTATTTTGATCATGTCAATCTTTCAATTGTTAAATAATTTGAGGTAATCCTCAAGGAATGCCTAAATCAATTGGCAAACACTGTATACTAGCATTATATAATAGACTTTAATTTATATAAGTCATTGGGATCGAAATATTCATAATTCCTCTCATTTCATTCATTTAGTGGTTAACAGATAACTAGGACTATTTATTAATTAATACAGTGGACATCCAGGATGCAGTTGGACGACCTGCACTTCGCAGGTGAGCTGGCTCTTCTATCCTACTGGCAACAACAAATGCAAGAGAAGACGACCAGTGTAGCAGAAGCCTCAGCAGCAGCAGGTCTCAACATACATAAGCGGAAAAGCAAGATGCTCCGATATACCACTACATGCGCCAACCAAATCACACTTGAAGGAGATGCCTTGGAGGACGTATAAAGTTTTACAGATGTGAAGGCGCATATCGGCAAAGCAAGGACAGCATTTCTACAACTGAACAATATCTGGAACCCAAAACAACTATCAACAAACACCAAAGTCAGAATTTTCAATTGGAACGTCAACATAGTTCTACTGTGTGGGGCGAAAACTTGGAAAACTACCAAAGCCATCATTCAGAAGATACAAGTATTTATTAGCAGTTGTCCACCCAGAATACTTCGGATCCGTTGGCTAAACACCATCAATAACAACCTGCTGTTATTGATTTCAATGGACGAGAAAATCAGGAAGAAGCGGTGGAAGTGGATAGGAAACACATTGAGGAAAGCACCCAACTGCATCACATGACAAGCCATCACTCGGAATCCTCGTTAAAGGAAAAGAGGAAGACCAAAGAACACAACACGCCAAGAAATGGAGTCAGACATGAGAAGAATGAACGAAAATTAGACAGTACACAGGCGTAAGTAAGTAGTTCATTGAGATCATGAACCGTGCAACGTCAGACCACCACTGAAAACCTGAGATCACTGGACAACAGTATCCATCCATAACCTTGGAAGCGGGAATCTAACCTAATATTTTATAGTCTCGCGAGAAAACTCCCAACCTCTGGACTACAGTCGGCATCGAACTGTGTTAATGTCTGACTTCAGTTTAATGCACAATATTTTGCTATTATCCATTCATTGTGTTCGGTAGCCGTCCAGTGCTTCAAGATTTCGCATAGTTGCTAATATTGATCAGTTCATGATTGTAAAAATCTTGACAATCTCGTACTGATAATGGTTAGAAATTGAAATCGACTGAAAAACTTGAAAAATATAGAGAGCACTGAATAACAGTTTCTTGAAAACTCATAATAATCAAAAACCACTTGATCTCCCCATCAATTCCACTAAGCTTAAATCCCTATAAACGATGATAAATTCGTGAAATCGTGCATATCGACCATACAATATCATACGGGACATTTGTCTTACTCTCAACAAAAGTGTTAGTTATCGATTCGCAATAGAACTTAAGAGAACTTGTCACTGGTTGGCAACGATTCTGTGTCGCCTACTCTAGGATTTGGCTTGACAATTTCATTTCTCTCCATGCTTATATGACATGCTGAATTGGAATGACATACGTATGTGCCAAGTTGTAATTAACTAACTGATATTTAAATGTATAGTTTTATGAGTACAATCTAACTTCAAACGTTCTGATCCTCATTAGTTTCATACACGATTACTGAGTTTCAAGACACCGTCGCACCAACTATAGTCATTGTGTTATCAGAAAGTTCATGTATTAAGTGATAACCTGAGGGGCAGACCAAAAATTGAGTCGAAAGACCTACCTACTAGGGGAGTTGGAAAATTTTGATTGCAAACTTCAGGATCTCGAGGGAATAAATGGTATGTGAACGTGTTGTTGGTCACTCACTACCACTGTACTGCATCTCTTTACGTTGTCCCATTGCCTTGTGGATTGGACCAGTAGGTCAGCAGAGTAGCACCTACTATGGAAACCATCTGTTTCAGTTGACACGTACCCATGAACTCTCTTGATCAGCTCACTCACCAATACTAATGCAATATCTGTGGCGTGAATACATTTTAGCGCCCCTTTGTTTAAATATACTATTAGTTTACAAGAGTTAAAGTAAATGCTTTACGTGTATGAAATGATGTCGCTATATATATATATATATTGTTATATAATACAGCATTACAGAGAATTAACTGAAGTTTGTCGATTTTCAATGTTCAATTTTATACCAAACAGAAAATAATTGATGTTTTTTCTTGGTTTTTTATCTAGATTGAATATTGATTAAATGGCGTAAATCAAATCACGAATAAGAAAATTCAATGTACATTAATTTTCAACTACTTTTTTCCCACTACAAGTAATATCACACTATTTTATGGGATAATTATATGACATGTAATCATTGATCAATGAAAACTAAACAATTTAATATTGTATTCAAGTGAAATTTTAAAATTTTTTACAAAACTTTTTTCATCTAATGCTTATACTACTTTTTAAACAAAAGAAAAGAGTAGTAGTGTATGTGTAAGTATTCACTTCACTTTGAGCAAGATAAATAAAATTTGTATTTTACACACACACACAAACACAAAGATGACCAAGGATATTTCAATCGATTTATTCGAATCGATGTGTAATGCGTGTCATGAGAAGCTACTCTCTCTTCCAAAACCTTAATGAGTTGTACAGCATAAACACTCAGAACCAGTCACTACTTTCGATGTACACATTTAATTAATCACAAAATTCGGTGGTCTCTAAAACGAAATCACAAAATTACAATGTGAAAATGATTTTGATTATTTGTGTTGGTCGGATTAGAGTTAGTTGTTCAGTGTAACAGAACAAAATACTAATGGCCTAACATTAGGATACTAATTTTGGAGTACAGTCGTATCTGGACGAGACTACGGATACAATTAACAGACAAGCTTACCGAGGATACCAGAAATGTTAGTGATCTCTTGCGAGATAATAGTGTGGTGCGAGCTACTTATAAGTAGTATATGACGTGAGCGTACAGATCAAAACCCAAAAATCTTTGTGATCAGTTAATATAGGCCGGATTTCTTTATGCTGATGTCCTTGATGTGTCAGGGAACAACAAATTCCAGGTCTCTTTGGTCACGTTTAGTGCTGATAGTCTAGCCACTTGGCAGCTGACATAAGATAGATGAGTGCATTTGCTAACGATTAACGCAATAAAGTTGCTAGGACCAGTATTGAATAGTCTTTTGGTACATGGTATTAAAACGTTGTAATTCTCAAGTTAACAGTAGACAAGAATTAAACATACGAAAATCGGCAAATAAATTTAGATGGAAGAGTGTATGGGAATAAGATGAGATCGTTTGTGTTGACGTACATAATATGTACATATTTAAAGTGTAACAAGGATAAACTTTGAATATATCATTGTGAAATTTAACTCATAAGTCTATGATTATTACAAGTTACTACTGACAATTAGTTCTGTCTAGTTGCAGGAATGTAGTTTGTTCAATGAAATGTTTAGTAATTATTTGTCCTACAAGTCCCACTCCACGCCTGAACAATTCTTAGAGTGACTGCCGACCTAAAGCCTGGATAAAGGAGGGTGGGTTGGGTATGGAGTTATCGACCCCATCCCGTAGAAAAATAACTCGCTAAAAAGCCGCTAACTAGGAAAAACAATTTAAACTCTGTCCTGACAATTGGAAGAGTTATCACGCATTGTGGTGAAAGCCAAATTCAAGAATAGCTCTCAGAAGCGATTTTCAGAACCTTTCACGATCTACTCAATAAAGATGAAATTAACACGGAAAACAACTAGAAAGGGGCCATAGAAACAATAACTCCAGAATGTCACAAGGTTTCGGGTCATAAGAACCACTATCACAAGGAATCGACCTCTGCTGATACACTGGATAAGATTCATGAAAGGAAGATAGCAATCAACAGTCGAACACCTGAAAGCCAAGACAAGCTGAATGCACAAAGGCAGACAAAGCAAGTCAAGGGGAGGATTAGAGCTGATGAGCGAAAATATGAAGACGGTCTATCGATAATGGCTAAAAAAGATGCAAGAGACGGAAACATGAGACAAATATACGACACAAAGAAGGAGCCAAACCGTGCGTGGAGGACAGATTACAGATTTATTCGGAGTGATAACCAGTATAGTACAAGGCTCCTTACAGTCACCCTTTCTCTTTCTTCTGGTGGTCGACCGGATTATGGAGACGTCAATAGCTCAGGGGAAGCGCGGGATACACTGGACAGCTTGAGTGCAGCTAGACGATCTGGGCTTTGCAGATGATCTAGCTCTTGTATCCCACACACAACAACAAATGCAGGGGATGACGGCCAGTGTAATGGCAGCCTCTGCAGCAATAGGTATCGACATTCACAAGGGAAAAAGCCAGATCCGTAGATACAACACATTATGCACCAACCAAATCATACTTTGTCAAGCCCTGGAAGATGTGCAAACTTCTACATATCTGTCAGCACCCTTCATAAACAAGGTGGATTTGATGCAGATGTGAAGGTAAAAATCGACAAAGCAAGGATAGCATTTCTACAATTCAACAACATCTAAGACTCAAAAACAACTGTCTGTTAACCAACACCAGTCAGTCAGCTACAACGTAGAACTTCGCACGTAAGTACATCAGCTCAAGTTACCAAGCCACGTTGGCATACAGAGATCAAATCGTCAATTCAAATCCCATATAGTAGTAGAGGTAGTAGAATTATTGGCAGCAACCAAAGAGATTGGGGACCGAAGGTATCACCAAGGTCAAAAATTTCCATACAAACCTCAAGACAGTTCTATTGTGTAGAGTACTACGAAAGCCACCATCCAAACGATACAGGTGTTTATTAAAAGTTGTTCATGCAAGAGTTGGCGGATTAGTCGGCCATTAACCATTAACAAAAACCTACTATGGGACAGAACAAATGAGCTCCAAGATTGGGAAGACATTAGAAAGCTCTGGAAGTGGATAGGATACACATAACAGAAATCGCCAAACAGCGTCATGAGGCAAGCCCTCACCTGAAATAATCCTTAAGGCCAAAGCAAAAGCGATAGACCAAGGAACACATAGCACCGAGAATCGGAGACAAACATGAAAAGAATGAATCACAATTGCTAGGAACTGAAAAAGAAGGCCCAGGAAAGAGCTGGCTGAAGAATCTTATTCGGAGGAGTAAGTGTGAGTACAACAGTTAGTAACAATATCTGCTACATAAACAAACACATCCTGAAAGTGGAATTCGATAAGTGAGGTCCAAAATCATCAGTCGATCAAGTGCATAGTTTGCCCCCCACACCAGTTCATGAACGCATTAGGCTAAACTACCACCACATTCCCGTCTTGTCTCATCAACTAAAAACTATATTTTCTTCTCAAAATCAATAAACAGAGAGTAAGAAAAAGCTTATATTATTATTGTTATTACTATTATTATTATTATTTAGTCCAGATCGTGTATATCATCAAAATAAAAAAAAACCCAAAGTAAATGAAAATCCAATTACAACCCATTCACAGAAATCACAGATGATCAGGACCAATTCCCAAAACACTAAGCTTAATTGATAGATACACTCATACATACACAACAAAATGAAACAAAAAAAATTACAGTCAAATTAATTAATTTCATATTTTTCCGTATGAAAATTCGATTCATAAGAAAAATTGATTGGGATATTTTGATTGCTTATAGTTGCTTCCATAATCTATAAAAAATTTAACAAAAAAAAGAAATACCAGTGATATTTTATATAAATACACTATTTTTCAACGAAATAAAAATGTAATATATATGACTGATAGTGAAAGGAAAGAATCATGAATAAGATAACTTGGTAATTAAAACTTACTCACTTTTTCGGGCAGTTTTGGAGGTTTGTGTTTTTACACATTTGAAATCACCAATCAATCATTGTTAGACCACTATTAGAAACATGGAAGCACTAGACGGCCGTTTCGTCCTGGTATGGGACTCATCAGCAGTGCGCACCCACGACTCCTGCACCTCGCAGGATTCGAACCCGAGACCTTCGGTATTGTGTGCGAACGCCTAACCGGCGGACCACTGGGCCGGCATCCAACGGTGTTAATGTCTAACTCTGATTGTTCTAGGGACTTCGCGCGACCTCACCCATTTGTCTTTGGTAGTTACTGCCTACACCCGGCAGGGTTGAACTCCATTGGCCACGTCTTCTCAACTAGAACTCCGAGAATTTCCTCACGAAGCTAGTCACTAGTGAGCACTGTTATGATATTTTCGGGCAGAGTTTTGGGTGTTTGTGTTTTTACTCACTTACACCTAGGCTGGTTATCCCTAATGCAGCATAGGCCCCACCGACTAGCATTCTCTAACCTACTCTCTCTCTCTCTCTGTCCTAGACCTTCCTTTCCAGTTCTATCCAGTCGGCGTTCATTCTTTTCATGTTTGCTTCCAATTCTCGATGTAATATGTACTTTGATCTTGAGGATCCCAAGTTATGGCTTGCTTATCATGATGTGGTTTAACGATTTCTGAAATGTGTATCCCATATCCACTTTTGGTACTTCTTCCTGATTCCTTCGTCCAATGGAATCCGGTTTGTTCTCTCACATAGTAGGTTGTTATTGATGGTGTCCGGCCTACGGATCCAGAGCACCTTGCGAAGACAGTTGTTAATCAACATATGTATCTTGTGGGCGATGATTTTCGTGGTTCCCCAAGTTTCCGCTCCACACAGTAAAACTGTCGAGACGTTCACATTGAAAATTCTGAATTTGGCGTTGATCGACAGTTTTTTTTTAGTCTCAGACGTGGTTCACTTGTGGAAATGTTATCCTTGCTTTGTCGATTCGTGTCATGACATCTGCATCAGACCCATCTGGTTTATCAATGATGCTACCCAGGTATGCAAAGGTTTTCACATCTTTAATGATTCTCCATCATGTATGATTTGGTTGGAGTATGTTGTGCTGTATTGAAAAATCTTGGTTTTTTTTATTGTATATGTCAAAATCTACTGCTGCAGAGGATGCTACTAAACTGACTGTCTTCAACTGCTTTTGTTGTTGCGTGTGGGATAGAAGAGCTAAATCATTTGTGAAGTCCAAATTGTCCAGCTGCATCCCGAACTGTAGCCACTGTATCTCGTGGTCCCCCCACCCAGATGTCGAAATGCTCTAGTTTTTTCTCGTTACAGTGTTAAGCGCCTTCAACATCAGTCTATTATTTATAGACAAAGCCAAAACTGTATCATAAATTAAGTGTGAGTGATATCCCACTAAGGAAGCATCATCATTCATGTCAATACATATTGACATTGTGTACTTACTACTACTGTAACTCCACCTGAAGGTTACTACCAGTCCAAAGTCCGGATGAAAGAGGATGGTTACGCGTGGGGTTAGCGACTCTACTCTGTAGAAATCTAACTCGCTAAGAAAAAAACGCTAACCAGACTAATAATTCGCCGGTCGGCAGCTTATGCTCCATTAGGGGTAACAAGCATAAGTAAATAAGTAACTTTATATCAATATTAATGCCAATCAATCAGTTGCCTAGACAACTACTTCCGATCATTTAAAAAAATCTCTAACCTTACAATAAACCAGACTCTGAAAATATAGTTTAATCAAAACTAAACTTTCCATATACACATATAAATTACCTGAATTCCACAATATGATTTACTTGAGCCAAAATTTAATTTCAACGGGAAAAATTGGTCAGCTTTTGCACCACGTTCTGTTTTTAATGTGAATTCCAAGGAACCAGATGAGCTATCACTGTTCACTATCGGTATACGCCAGTCTAATTGTGTCTTGCGTGGACATAATTCATATTCTCCGTCATAATTACCAATTAATGGAGGTTTAGTTGAAGGACTTTAAAATTAATGGACAAAAAAAATGGAGAAAAGAAAATTTATTTTTTCCGTATAAATTCAATTTAAACAATAACGAAATAATTCAATTTGGATGTTGTCGATGTTCTTAATTTGACTGACATTTGATCAACGTTCGTTGGCAACAGAGGCAGCAGCTAATAAGGATCACCTTGATATGACCAATATGACACAAGTCTACATAGAATAGATAGAATGTGGCTAGTTGTGGAATCTACGACGCGCATTTTGTGATGTTCAGGACTCATCCACTAGTAGCTATTTATCTGTACTCAGTAGTCAAGTGAATTATTAGATGACGTTTGAAGCGAACACTACTCGGTCCGAGTCTCGTAATGAACATCAACTGGAGGGTGCAGGTACATTATCCAGTTAAATTCAAGTCCTAAATAGGACAAAAAGCGAGTCCAGGACTCTATCTATTCTATGTAGGCGAGACTAGAATTTATAGACGAACCAATCGGATTTAGGAAGACAAGTCCCATATTTTGGTGCGAAGTTCATTCACGTATATAATTTAATAGCATATTGCCAGTAGAGCTGATGCCGACTGGTGATAAAAACCATAACTCTAATTCCCAACTTTAACTCCTAAATCCCAAATCTAGTTTCTTCCATTA